GTTTGGGGAGTAGTGTGTGGAGCTGCTGCTTCTGGTACTCAAATTCTACATAATAAGACATTAAAATTGAATTTGAAAAGTTTTTGATGAATCACTAACACATATTACCGTCAACTTATGTCTTAGTCGTCTGATGATGAGAGTGAGTTCTTATCTGATAAGAACTTTAAGATCTACTCTCATGTTGTGTATTATATGGTCTAATGCATCAATGGTAGTCAAAGGAGTGATTACACGTACAGATAAATTAGGGATAGGACTAAATGACCTTTTTTCTGCTTCATTGATTAGTTACCTCACTGAATCATTGAATATGCCTTCAATGATACATGCTTTTTTTCACAGGTAACTTCCATTGGAATTTCGAGGATGTGGCTAAATCAATTACTTGCATGCTTATGTCTGGTCCATTTCTCACTGGCTACACGCAGGTAAACTCTTTTTAATGTAAAGCTTTCCTATGACTTATGAAAGTATTATTCGTGCACAAATAAAATAGAACTGGTACTTTGGTTTTTTTAGACGATCAATGATTGGTATGATCGAGAAATTGATGCAATTAATGAACCCTATCGTCCAATCCCATCTGGGGCAATATCTGAGAATGAGGTATGAGCTAAACCATTTGATATGCATTAGCAAAGGCATATTATCCTTCCTTAATGGTTTCTTCCTTCCATAAATTTTATCAGGTTATGGCACAAATATGGGTGTTGCTTCTGGGAGGACTTGGCTTGGCTGGTTTGTTAGATGTGTGGGTAGGTTCATTGAATTGATAGAACATACTCATCTTTCATATGTATTGTTTTTCCTGAATTTCGTTCTTATCCTTCTTAGGCAGGGCATGACTTTCCTATAGTCTTCTACCTTGCTCTGGGTGGCTCTTTGTTATCATACATATACTCTGCTCCACCTCTAAAGGTAAGTCAAAGGTTTTTGTTTCTAAAATTGGATATTCTGAATGATAAGAGCATTTATTTTGTGGTTGCAGCTTAAACAAAATGGATGGATTGGAAATTGTGCTCTTGGAGCTAGTTATATCAGTTTACCATGGTGCGAAATCCTGTGATCTTTAGTAATTGGTAAATTGATATACATTGGTAGTGAATAAAAATGTCACCGAAATTACTGCAATTGACAGGTCGACAAAGTCAATTGCGTTTCATATGAAAATTTGAAAGCTTTCTTCGTATCTCTGGTCAGTGATTAATATTCACACTCATTTGAATGGCCTTGGACTTTTGAGCATATTGTTATCCTATGGGCAAAAGCTGATCAAAGGAGAACACCCTTTCTCTATTGACCATGAAATCCAATGTTATGATTACACTTATCCACACAAATTTAGATAAACGAATACTTTATAAACTTCTAATGCACTTCGAGTGAACCACGTGTTGAACTTGAATCATATACATGGAACGTCCAATCGATGGCTAGTTTGCAGTTATCTTCAATTTATTGTTTATATAAAGTGAATTGGATTGTTCCAGGCTCTACATTAATCATATGTATTACAAAATTTTCTCTGTTCTTTATAATATGATAAGTTTTCCCTTTCCAGTAACAGTTAATTTTTAATCTCAGGTGGGCAGGTCAAGCTTTATTTGGAACACTCGCTCCTGATATTGTGGTTCTTACACTCTTGTACAGCATAGCTGGAGTACGCTCAATTTATTTTTTGAGTTCCTACTTTCACAAAATCCAATACTAATGCGACTGCCTTCTGCTTTGCCTTAACCAGTTTGGAATAGGCATTGTAAATGATTTCAAAAGTGTTGAGGGGGATAGAGCTTTAGGACTTCAGGTATTTCATTCTAAAACAGTCTTTGATTTGTTAAACTAAATTTTGGTCTTATCAGACTCTTTTTGTTTTGTTATTCTATTGTCAGCTCTTATTGTTTACTGCTCTTACAGTCACTTCCAGTAGCTTTTGGTGCTGAAACTGCTAAATGGATTTGCGTTGGCGCTATTGACATAACTCAATTATCTGTTGCTGGTAATTCTTTTAGCACTGTTTTGTTCAAGGGGTCTTCACTTTAAATCCATGCGCAAAATTAAGGTCACCAGACCATTGAAAAATAAGAACATAAGTTGATCATTTCTTGGCTTCTGCCTTTCTTCTAATTTACATTTTGGAGGGTCTTCACCTTGTTTGGGTTTCATCTTTTCGTACATGCACCCTTCTATTGAATTTTGTAACAATTATGCTCTTCTATAATATCGAATCACCTCCAATGTGCCTACATCTATTAAGCTTTGTTAGCCACCGAAGGAATTGAGCAATGTTGAAAGTACTGCAGATGATATATCTCAGATTCTCAACGTAACAATTAACTGAGAGAAGGATAAGAATCCCAAAAGTTTGTTTGCAACAAGCGAATATTTAATATTCTGCATTCTGATTGTTGGAAAGATAGATTGCTTGATCTCTCTTTGCCTTCTCTACCAAAATAATATTCCTGAATGCCAAGGTCTGAAAGATGGTGTTCTTTGCTGCTATGAACTGCATTCTTGAAGGAAACGGTTAGGAATCACGGATCTATGATATTGTCCACTTTGAGCATAAGCCGATATTGTCCACTTTGAGCATAAGCCAAGGTGGGACTCCCTAAATAAGTCATTCTTAAAAACCCATGATTATTCCCTAAATTAGCCGAGGTGGACTCCCTCCCAACAATTCTCAACCAAAACCATGTATGGGTCTCTGATACTGAAGGCTTAAAAGCTATCATCCTGCCATGCGTATAAAATGAAAATTGCTATTTATTTGCGATGTAGATCCAGAAATCATAAGGACTAGAATCGGGACTTTGATCTGCAAGCTAATTACACTGTTCCCTCTACCACATTTGAAATGAACGTGACCACAAATACTATTACTTATTGCAGGTTATCTGTGGGGAGCTGGCAAGCCGTATTATGCATTAGCCCTCCTTGCTCTAATTGCTCCCCAAGTTTTTTTCCAGGTATATATACTTTTAAATAAACATCAAATGGTGTCAGTTTTCTCTTAAGTAGGCAGCCGCTGCTGAACAACTGTATAGTAATGTATGGGGGTATTATTTGGTATTCAAGTATTGAGGTGTAAATTGTGATCCCATCTCTTTCTATTTTCTTTAATTATAATTGAATAGTCGTGTTTGATTCGACAATCAGCCTTCTAGCTGAACTTTCCTTTTAGTTGCAACGAACATTAATACTCGACTAATGCATACTATTATGGTTTTTGCAGTTCAAATACTTTCTCAAGGACCCCGTCAAGTACGATGTCAAATATCAGGTACGTAAATTCTTCTTTAAAGTGTAGACTTGCGTTCATAGAAACTGCTATACAGAGCCGTTTCTCTCTGTGCTATTTGATAAAGCATTATCGTCCTGCCCTTTCCAACAACTTTAAGTGGTCCGAACCCCATGACGTCCATAATCGTGTACCTACCTGCCACTACCACGCCGGATTTGTCAGCTTCTTTATATTTCTTTTTACAGATTTTGGTGGGTTGAGTTGAGATATTTTTATATCGGGTTACAAAAAAAATTTCAATCAAAACACTTCATATTACAACTCAATGACTCGATCATAAATAGTTTATTCAAAATTTTATTTTATTTAAAATTTATAAATATATATTTTTAAAAATTACCTTAAATAGTTCTAGAATAAATGATCAAAAAAATAATTATGTTATTAAATATATATATATATTTTTTAAATGAATAATTATTGATAAATTTGAATGGGTTTATTTTAGTATAACTCATAAACTACCCAACAAACCTGTTCGATGATAAAAGTCTCACTAATTTACGGAATACGGAATGATCACGAGTTTATAAACAAATAATATTCTCTCTATTGGTTTGAGGTCTTTTAGGGAAGCCCAAAGCAAAGTCATGAGAGCTTATGCTCAAAGTGGACAATATCATACCATTGTGGAAAGTCGTGTTCATCTAATATAGTATCAGAGCGATACCTTAAACTTAGTCTTGCCAATAGATTGATAAATCCTCAAATGTCGAACAAAGGACTCCAAAAAGAAAAAGGAATCGAGCCTCTTCGAAAGTACGAAGGCAGTAAAAAATGACTAAGACTCCAAAAGAGTCGAGTCTCGATTAAGGGGAAGCGTGCTTTGTTCGAGGGGAGGTGTTGGATGATAAAAGTCCCACGTCGGCTAATTTAGGGAATGATCGTGGGCTTATGCTCAAAGTGGACAATATCATACCATTGTGGAGAGCCGTGTTCGTCTAACGCACCCAACCCATGATTGAATTGATTGAGTTCCTGGAGTCGAGTTGTTTTTCTCTCTTTTTTACCTTACGTTTGCATTAACATTTCAGGCCAGTGCCCAGCCATTTCTTGTGCTGGGGCTGTTGGTCACTGCTCTTGCTACCAGACATTAAACTCTAGCATGCGGAAAATTAAACGTACGTATGTGTACAGACATGCGTGACAAACGCAATGCCAGCAAGAGCAGACAGCAAAGTCTGCGGACGCCCCCAGCAGCAGCCAGCCCAAGTCAGGTTACACTCGCCTGGTTTGGTAAATCAGTTTTGGATCTCTACCAGCATATTTCAAAGCTTTGATTTAGGGTTGTATCACAATAAGTTCTTATTTAAAGATTAAAGTAGGAACGACATTTCATCAGTTCTTCAAAGCTTTCATCAGATTTAGTTTGTATTACACGTCAATTTTCTCGGTTTCTAATGAGATACGTCCCCTTACTTCAGGTTGCAATTGAATCAGAATATGCATACATACTGGAATTCTGTTCTCTTGCTTCCGACTGCTCGTATATTTTTCAGGTCTGCCAACCAACTATGCTGGCTTAAATTTCCTCTTGTTCATATTCTGATACTCTATTTAATGCATTTTACTTGTAACCCTCTCTCAAAATGATCAACATCGCTATAATTAATCTTGAGAACACTTAGATTGAAAAACACTTGGATATTTAGTTCTGTTTAGCCATATGTAGGATTTTAGGTGGTGTGCACTCTGATAGAAAGGACATTAATTTCTCACTTCAAGCAGAAACATCCATATACACACCCGACACTGTAGGGTAAGGCATCCAAGGACATGATTTATTCAAGATGCTCCAAAAGAAAGCACACACTTAAAAGAAAGCCAACGACATCATGAAAGCTTTTACTTAGCCCTGAACTTGGACTCGTCAATTTCAACCCCTTCCTCAGCCGCACGCTCTCCTCCTGGCATACCCGAGTTGCTCAACCCACCTTTACGGCCCATCTCTTGGTACCCTTCGTGTCCCAACTGCTCCTTCCTCGTCTGACCCCCACGGCTCCGCCCTGCATTTCACCATCAAACAAAACCTCTCTAGTCAGTTCAGTACTTGTAAGGCAGTATAAAGAGTTTCCATAGTTAGTTGCTTGAGGTGAGGATTTTAGTAGGTTCAGCTTAGAATTGGTTAGACAAAACTACATATTTTGACCGTACCCCAAGTTTCTGGCATCCTAAGTGCTCTTTTCAAAGGATTAAAAGGTGTTTTTAGAGAATTAGAAGTATAAGAGTCGACAAGTCGGTACACCTTCTGCCAGGTGCTCCTGAGCTTCGAGACTCTTCCCCCCAGTTCCGCCGGGGACGACAGTCTCCCCTTGCCTAGCCCTGGCGTCGAGTTCACATCTTTCCTGCTCCGACGACATCTCTCTCTCTCTCTCTTACTGTGTCAAATACTTAGCTTTTTCGTTACAAGATTGTTGTATGCCATCTCTTCTTGCCACTCAGGTTTATATAGAATTTGAGCTTCGTAAGTCTCAAAAAAAGGGCAAAATGGACGCTTCGGAGTGTCTACGTGGCAGATAGTGGACCATAGAGCATTGGGTGATTGACACGTAGGTGATTACTCAGTCTAAAAATGTCTTGTAGTGTCAAAAGAACGACACGTGTTGAGGAGATATTAATCTGGTAGCGGTCCCAACATCCTACCATGCCGACCCATCTATCAACATTTGTTTTCAGATGTCCTCAACTTTCTTCTCATGCATGGGTATGGCTAATTAGAATTTGATAACATGGAGTAATTATTATTATTATTATTCTTAAATACCACAATTTCTGAGAAATTTTTATGATTTTATCGGATGTTGTTTTCCCTTTCTTATATTTTTTTTTTTCACAAAAATTCCACTTCAATAAATTCTTTAAATGATAATTCTATTTTCTAGTATATAATTTCTGTTCAAAATATAATTGGTTTTAATAAATTAAATAATATTTGATAAGTACAAATACAATACAAATAATAATATATCAACATAATATTTTTAATAAAATAACTCAAACCTACTATTATATCCCGTCTCATTCAGTATTATTATGAAAAAGTAAAATTATTTTAAATATATATTTATAAAAATTAATATTGAAAGGCTATTTAGAACTATATGGAGACCGTACCTATTTTCTCACAAAATATTATCAAATTCCCTCATAATCAATAATTTTTATTTTTACATATTAATTCTTTTTCTTTTTTTAAAATGTTTATTTTATTTACAAAAGCGTTGCCTCCGTCTAAAATTAAAAGTGAGGTGGCACTGGTCAAACATCCAAATAAAATTGAATAACTCCATTGAAATTTCTCGTATAAAAAATTGATGTAATTGTTTTAGTATTTTATCAAAATATTTTAAACATATGATGAAAAAGGTTCCGGTGTGAGAGACGTTTGAAATCTCTTAAAACTACAGTTTCATTTCAATCATTAATCTTTATTTACTTTATTATTAGTTTTTATTTATTTGATTATTAATTGAATTATGAACCTTATCAACCTAAAATGTATGTTGTAGATATTACAAATGTATCCAAACAAGTCAAGATAGTCGATGTGTCTCAAAAAATACTGTCAAACATGCACGGAACATGCACGAACGTAAACTCGTTCAAGTTGTTCAAGTTAAATAACGTAAACAAATTATAAAAAATAAAACCAAATCGAAGCATAAGTTCATACTTCAAGCCACCCTACTTCTATTTCCACGTAGAAGAGAACACACGGTACAGCAAAATTCGTCCCTTCCGCAAATACCAACCCCCCCGACAGCGGGCAGCCAAGACAACCCATAAGAGATCCCCGGCCGACGTACACGTGTCGAGAAAACAAAAACCAACCATCAACTAGACACTAAACGAAATGAAAAACACCCACCCACATACATATTATTCTACATATACCAAAACGTGGTCCGCCGCCCCGATCAGACGACAAAGCCAGGGTGGTTCAGCGGTCCTTGGTCCTGAACTTGGACTCGTCGATCTCAATTCCTTCCTCCTCCACCCGCTCGGCCGCGGACTTATCCATGGTGCTCAGCCCACCCTTCTTGCCCATCTCTTGGTACCCTTCTTGCCCCATCTGCTCCCTTCTCGTCTCTCCTCCCCGGTGCCCCATCTCCTGATACCCTTCATGCCCCAGCTGCTCTTTCCTCGTCTGCCCGCCCCGGCTCCGACCTTCAACCAACCAAGTTTCACTTATCCGTTCATAACAAACAACTAATTATTATTTGGACAATAATTCTTAACATTTAAGACGTGTATAAAATTCAACCATAAGAGCGGTGATTAGTAACATGGTATCAGAGTCTACGTTCTTAAATGTCCATAACTTCCTTATGTTAATAAAATTGAACCATAATAAAATCATAAAAACTTATGCTTAAAATAGACAATATCATAGAATCGTGATTTATAACATGATGAGTATCATATCGAACCTTATCATTATAAAGAATTGTTGGTGATTCGTGACAATTATTACCTTCGGCGAGACGTTCTTGAGCTTCGAGGCTTTTCCCGCCGGTTCCGCCCGGAACCACGGTCTCTCCCTGCTTTGCTTTGGCCTCCAGCTCCGATCTTTCCTGCTGCGCCGCCATATTCCTTCTTTTCTTGCTTTCTGGTTTGTGTGTGTATATCTAAGGGTTCAAATTTTTGGAAGTTTAGATAAGTGGTGAAAAGGGACGGTTCTCGGAGTTTATTTATAGGCCGGAGAATTGGAAGAGCTCCGATGACGAAACGCCTTGTGAAATGGACACGTAATATGGCAAACGCGGCGAATTCGGGTGCGAATAAGCCATTTATTAACGACACGTCATTAAATCTGTCGTCTTTGTGCACTGTGTCGACACGTGGCTCTCTATTCTTATGCCCAACCCCTCCTAATAGATTGTTTATTGTTTGTATTTACAGAGATTTTCGTACCTTTATAAATAATATTTTGTTCATCTCTCTTACTGATGTGAGATCTCACAATCCACCTATGAAGGTTCAATGTCCTCACTAGCACACTCCTTGGTGTTTGTCTCTAATATAACAGTCCAAGTCCACGCTAGCATATATTGTCATTCCCATTAACAATTTGGATCAAACAATTTGTAACAGTTACAAGGGTTGTTTTAACAGTGTTTATCACTCAATTTTATTCATATAGACCCTTTAAGTTATTACTTAATATGATTTTATTATACTAATGGTCTTGAATTTTTTTCGTATGGATAATAAAATTAGTATTAAGATAAAATCATTAATTATGAGATTTTAAGACGTAAATCCCAACTATAAGATCCTCCCCGTCCCTCACAAATTAAGAATTGTCACAACAATAAAGTCTAATCGACATGAATTAAGAGCTCGAGTCGTTGCTTTTCTCTATGTTACTTTGAAAAAAAAAAACTTTTTTACCTTCAACCACCCGAATTTTCTATGTTCCTTTTGTTTCTCATCAAACGAACGACATCTTCTAGTCCTAGCTTGATATCGTAGAATTTTCGTGCTCTATAGCATGCCTATATCTCAATGGGCTGACGTAATTTTTCTACTACGTGTTTGTTCCCATGGTGTATTTTCAAAATTAAATATGTTATTCCACAATTGGTGCATTTATCTTTTCAACCTTAACGTTTTTTATCGGTTGGTTTCATTATCACAAGGCTTCTTTAAAATTAGCTTGGCTCCAAGACGTAAAATCCATGTTAAATTACCATTTAGCGAGTATGTTAGAACTTGGTCAGTCTCTCTCTTAGGTTAAAATTTGGCACAATTTTAACCTAGTTTTTCTCCCTTCAAGCATAGGTCAAATTAATAAAAGAAAAAACTCATACACAGTTTAAAAAAAATATCTCTAAATTTTAAAAAATTAAAAAAAATCTAAAAATTATTTTTACAGTAATTTTGTTAAGTTTAGTTAATATTTTAACGTTTAAAAAAAAAAATTAAAAAAAAGAGTAAAATATTATGTTTAAATAAATATTCATAAAATTTTAAAGGTAGTAACCTAAATTTTATAAGAAAAATTCGATATTTTTTAAGGTTATTTTTAAAAAGTTCAAAATATTGTTAAATAGTGGTATTAAGGATAATTATATATATATATATATATATATAAAAGTTTTAAAATTTTTTAAAATAGAAAGATATTAATGAAATTTTAAAAAATGAAGTATTTTTTAAAGTTAAAGTATTTGAAACGTTTAAGAATATTTTTAAAACAAATATTAACCGATTTCATTTTATATATATATATATTTTTTTTTGAAAGTTTAGAAGTATTTTTAGACTTAAAAAAAATTAAAATATTTTTGAGACTTAATTTAGCCTAATTTTTACTTAACTTAATAATTTCAATTTTTTTTTTGCAGTATATATATTATATATAGACCCAAAATGTATTTTAAGTAAAAAAAATAGAAAAAATAATAAATAAAAAACTAACACTCATTAATTCAAGTGAGTGATGAACGAATTAGAAAATTCGACCTCCCAAGAAAAAAGAAAAAAGAAAAAAGAAAAAAAAGAACCCAAAACCCTAATCAGCACAGAGCTGTTCCTAATATAAAACAAGGGCAGGCGGAGATGGAGTGAACCCTAGTTTTCTTCTCTGCATTATACTTCCAGTTCGAGAGTTGGTACTTTCAATTGCCAGTGTCTCTGTTGTTCTTAGCTGGTGAACTTGAGTGCTCCTTCCTGAAACTTTCGCTTCACATTGCTGAAACGTTTCTGAATCTCCAAAGTAATGTCGTCGGACGATGAAAGGGAGGAGGTGGAGTTGGATCTCTCCTCTCCGGATGTTGTTACAAACTACAAAAATGTTGCCGAGATCGTAAACGGTGAGTTATCTCTGTTTTTCTATTACAATCTTTTCCCCTTTTCTTCGTCATTAGCATGTCTGATTGATCCCGCGGCTTAATTACTCTTCAATGTTCTGATATGTCATTTATGATACTGTTGTTGGAAATGAAATAATCTTGTAGAGGCAATGCAGCTGGCGATATCCGAATGTAACTTAATGTTAAAATCGTTGACATTTGCGAAGAAGGCGATTTCTTTTCTCAGAGAGTAGGCTTTAAAATTAGATCTTCGAAATTTATCCAGCTTGAGCTAATCGTGTTTTAGCAAGTTCTTTTTTTGTTTGAATCTGAAGGAAAACTAGCAACATGTATAAGAATGTTCAGATGAAGATAGAACGGGCGTTGCCTTTCCAACTTGCATCTCTGAAACAAAACTGGCGGCCACTTTTCACCCCTAGTTAGCGATGAAACAGTGATGGAAGAAGGAAATATCCTCAAGATGTAAGAAAAATCCTTTTATTTGTTTTCACTCACCATGTTAGTTGAAGTGTACTCAGTCAGTGTTATGAAGTTTGACTATTGATGGTTGAAGTCAAGATTCAGGAAGTATGTTCCCTATAGATCTGAAGATAATTGAAGCAACTATATTGCACTAGTTATCAGGTAGCTTTGCCGTGGTGATATAGAACTTGGGGTTTGCCTCTTTTCCCTGTTGCTTATTTGTGTATGTCAAATTTGAGATAAAATATAAATTGTCACGAAAATCTATTGTGATCTTATGATAGTGGGTGAAGTTTCTATGGTTAAACAATCCATTTCCCCATAACTGGATTATGAAGGCAACTTTGCCGAGGTAATTTGTGACTTGTGGGTTACCTCTTTTCCCTGTTGCCTGTATTGTGTATGGTTAATTTGGAATTCTGTAGGTTGACATTTTATGTATGATGCCTACGGGGTGTCAATTGTCCAAATTACATACGAAATATATTGCCATGATAATCTCTTGTGATGTCTTAAGATAGTGGCTAGAGTTTATATTATTAACAAAAAGATATGCTTTCCCTCAACTAGATGAAGGCAACTTTGCCGAGGTAATTTGTCACTTGTGGGTTACCTCTTTTCCCTGTTGCCTAGATTGTGTATGGTTAATTTGGAACTTTGTAGGTTGACATCTCATGGATGATGCCTACGGTCCCAATTGTCCAAATTATTATACAAAATATATTACCATAATAATCTTTTATGATGTGTTATGATAGTGGCTAGAGTTTATGTTGTTAAAAAAGATATGTTTTCCTCAAACTAGATGAAGGCAACTTTGCCGAGGTGATTTGTGACTTGTGGGTTACCTCTTTTCCCTGTTGCCTAGATTGTGTATGGTTAATTTGGGATTTTGTAGGTTGACATTCCATGGATGATGCCTATGGTCTCAATTGTCCAAAATACATACAAAACATATTGCCATGATAATCTCTTGTGATGTCTTATCGTAGTGGCTAGAGTTTATATGCTTAACAAAAGATATGTTTTCCCTGTGCTAGATGAAGGCAACTTTGCCGAGGTGATTTGTGACTTGTGGGTTACCTCTTTTCCCTGTTGCCTAGATTGTGTATGGTTAATTTGGGGTTTTGTAGGTTGACATTTCATGGATGATGCCTATGGTCTCAATTGTCCAAAATACATACAAAACATATTGCCATGATAATCTCTTGTGATGTCTTATCGTAGTGGCTAGAGTTTATATGCTTAACAAAAGATATGTTTTCCCTGTGCTAGATGAAGGCAACTTTGCCGAGGTGATTTGTGACTTGTGGGTTACCTCTTTTCCCTGTTGCCTAGATTGTGTATGGTTAATTTGGGATTTTGGAGGTTGACATTTCATGGATGATGCCTATGGTCTCAATTGTCCAAAATACATACAAAACATATTGCCATGATAATCTCTTGTGATGTCTTATAGTAGTGGCTAGAGTTTATATGATTAACAAAGGATATGTTTTCCCTGAACTAGATGAAGGCAACTTTGCCGAGGTAATTTGTAACTTGTGGGTTACCTCTTTTCCCTGTTGCCTAGATTGTGTATGGTTAATTTGGGATTTTGTAGGTTGACATTCCATGGATGATGCCTATGGTCTCAATTGTCCAAAATACATACAAAACATATTGCCATGATAATCTCTTGTGATGTCTTATCGTAGTGGCTAGAGTTTATATGCTTAACAAAAGATATGTTTTCCCTGAACTAGATGAAGGCAACTTTGCCGAGGTAATTTGTAACTTGTGGGTTACCTCTTTTCCCTGTTGCCTAGATTGTGTATGGTTAATTTGGGATTTTGTAGGTTGACATTCCATGGATGATGCCTATGGTCTCAATTGTCCAAAATACATACAAAACATATTGCCATGATAATCTCTTGTGATGTCTTATCGTAGTGGCTAGAGTTTATATGCTTAACAAAAGATATGTTTTCCCTGAACTAGATGAAGGCAACTTTGCCGAGGTAATTTGTAACTTGTGGGTTACCTCTTTTCCCTGTTGCCTAGATTGTGTATGGTTAATTTGGGGTTTTGTAGGTTGACATTTCATGGATGATGCCTATGATATCAATTGTCCAAATTACATACAAAATATATTGCCATGATAGTCTCTTGTGATGTCTTATAGAGTTTTATATTATTAACAAATGATGTGCTTTCCCATAACCAAATAATGAAGGCAACTTTGCCGAGGTGATCTGTGACTTGTGGATTACCTCTTTTCCCTGTTGCCTATAGTGTGAATGGTCAAATTTGGTATATCATAGGCTGATTTCCATGGATGATGCCTATGTCCCAATTGTCCAAATTGTTGTAAGATATACATTCTGATGATATTCTCCTGTGATGTCTTATACTAATGTGTAGAATTTCTATTATTAATCAATAATCTGTTTCCCCATAACTTGGAATCACATTTAGTATAATTTGAAGCCTTTAGACTCACAGTTATGCTGTTGGAGTTTTGGTTAGTGCTTAAAATATCGTTATGTTGTGTAAATATTTGTTTAGTGCTCTTATTCCTTCAATTTTGTGGCAAATAGTGGCTGTCTCTTATGTTTTCTATATCTGCTTGTTTGACCAAGAGCCCTACATGATGATTACTTTATGGAAGCTATGGAATGTATTCCAAATGAGGCTTTTGTCATAGTTACTCTGATAGGGCATGCTACTTTTTCAGGCAATCTATTGTTTTTTAACCATCTTTATTGACATCATAAGTTGCTATCATATCTTGTGTAATGTTATTGGTCTTGGTTAATACGTAGTTGAATGTTTTGTGATTTATAAATGCCTGCTTTCTTGTGGAGTTTTCGTTTTTTCCATTGAATACGAGACGGGTTTCTATTGGTTAATTGAATCCTCTTTGGGGCTAGTTGAATGTGTTAATCACGATCTACTGCAAACCTATCCTGTCCTCTGAAAATTCTGGTAGCATTTTTTTGCTCTTTGAAATTAATTTTAATTTTGTTTCAAGTGTAATTTGTATGGTTCATTTGCTCCTCGTGCAATTGGTTACTTTGCAGGCGATCACATTGCCCACATTAAATATACAGTCTTACTAATGCCTAATGGATCTGATCGAATTACCTCTCATGCAATGCAAGATGTTTGGCCCACAAAAAGCTGTTGATGATCCGGAAATTAAGACCTGGTCAGCCCACAAAAACTGTCGACTCCATTGTTAGCATGCATGATGATTAGATTATTGAACCAAGTTTTCTTAACAACTTGGCTGGGGTAATAAAGGATTCAACATCGCAGGAATGAATTACTCCTTTTTATCTGCTTCCTCCTTTCCATCCTTTCCATTATGCCACTGTTTTCTTTTGATTGTATGTTTAACAGAGAACTTCATTCTGTTTCGTTCATTTTGTTTCGTACGTTTATAAGAGTGCTAGAAACTTCAATCTAGTAGACCATATACATTTAAAAAATTTTAAACTGTGGGGAGCTTATTAGGAAAAATCCAAAGAGACGGTATCTTCTAGTGATTGGCTTGAATTGATACACTTGTTCAATGTAGAATTTTAGACACTAAAGGAATGTGTACTTTAATACGACCTCATGTATCATCTACATATTGTTATTGGCTTAGTATACAACTTAGATCAATAAACATGTGCAACGTCTTTTTTATCAAGTTTTATTCTAAAAATAGTGGGTTCTTGGTAACCAAAAACTTTACGGAAATTAATAGCTGGTAACCAAAAACTTTACAGAAATTACATTATAGCATATATGGTGTGTGTACTGGCACTTAATCGAGGCTTGTCTCACTTATCCCGCTCATAAGGTAAGGAGTCCTTTGTGGGGCCTATGAAATCACTTGGCTGTTTATTAGGCATACTTAGCCATTAATTAGTTAGTAAGTAATATGGTAGGCAGTTTCTTCTATTCTTTTGACTTACCCTTTACACTTACTATATTTGTTATTTGTTTTTGGCATATAAACCTCTAATCCCGAATGCTTATTCATTAATTAATTATTATTATTACATATAGTTATAAGTTCCAATTTCATCAAACAATTTTTCAATTAAGCTCTTGTTATTATTTATAATCTTTTTTAATCAAAATTCTCGTTATTACAAACATTAAAACTATTTGACAAAATGATGTGGTAATGCCAAAACACCGTACTCCACAAATTGAGTTAATAATACTCTGTATTTTGATTTGATGAAAAATATATTGGGTCATTAAATAAAAAAATTAGCGTAAAAAGTATTTTTTTTTTTACCAAAACAAATATTAATTAAATGTTGATAACTTCCATTTTACCTTAAATTAATCAACAAGTCGATTAAGACTTCAATTTTGACTCCAAAACATAAAACCGACCAAGTGATAAAGGTTTAATCTTTTATGATCCTAAACGTAACCAAAGTTCTTGATAGGTTACAAAATCAACCCATATAAGTATGAGCAAAAAAGAAACCCAATACACAAGTACAAATTCGAGTTATAATTTTTACACATCAATTATGCCGATCAACCTCGAAAACGGGTTCCAAACTGAAACCTTCTCCTCGACAATACCAATGCCAATGGCGGCGGTTCGCTCTATGCTCAAGCCTCCAACTTCCAATGGTTCGTACAAACCCCAATCAAAACTTCAAACTAATAATTGTAACAATGGAGTCGAAATAGTCGAGTCAATGGTTACACCGTCAACGTTGGGCCACTACCTAGCTCGCCGCCTCGTTCAAATTGGCGTCTCGGATATCTTCTCGGTTCCAGGCGACTCCAATCTCGTGTTGCTCGATTACTTCGTGGCAGAAAAAGGCCTAAACCTTGTGGGGTGTTGTAGCGAGCTCAATGCTGGGTATGCCGCTGATGGGTACGCCAGACGCCGCGGCGTTGGTGCCTGTGTTGTTACCTTCACTGTGGGTGGGCTCAGCCTGATCAACGCCATTGCCGGTGCTTACTCTGAGGATCTTCCTCTGGTTTGCATCGTGGGTGCACCAAACTCGAACGAATATGGGAGTAACAAGATTCTCCACCATACCATTGGCCTGCCGGATTTCAGTCAAGAGCTCCGATGCTTTCAAAATGTCACTTGTTATCAGGTAGTATTACTGATGTGGGTGTGTGAATTTTTTATCGGTCTCGATTTTTTAGCTCTGTTTTGCTGTAAATTTTTATGGGTCTCTGTTTTTGAGCTCTGTTTAACTGTAATTTTTTGATGGATCTCTGTTTTTTAGCTCTGTTTTGCTGTTATTTTTTATGTATCTCTGTTTTTTAGCTCTGTTTTACTGTAAATTTTTATGGGTCTCTGTTTTTTAGCTCGTTTTGCTGTAATTTTTTATGAGTCTCTGTTTTGCTGTTAATTTTTGTTGGGTCTCTGTTCTTGAGCTCTGTTCTGCTGTTCTTGTGGCTGTAGGCAGTGATCAACAATTTGGAAGACGCACAATGGGAGATCGATACTGCAATTTCGAAGTGTTTGGAACAGAGCAAGCCCGTTTATATCAGCATTTCTTGCAATTTGGCGGCCATTCCTCATCCTTCTTTCTCTATGAAACAATTCCTTCCACTCTCCATCTCTTCCAAGCAAAGTAACCAAATGGGTTTGGAGATGGCGGTGGAGATGGCAGCTCAGCTTCTTAACACCGCCGTTAAACCCGTCATGGTCGGCGGAAAGAAGCTGCGAGTAGCTAAAGCACAAGCGGCGTTCGTGGAGCTAGCCGATGTTTGTGACTACGCAGTCGCCGTTACGCCGTCGGCTAAAGGCATGTTCCCGGAGAACCACCGTCATTTCATCGGAACTTACTGGGGATCTCTCAGCTCAGCCTTCTGCGGCGAGACAGTGGAAATCGCCGACGCTTCAATCTTCGCCGGAGCTATTTTCGACGAACTGGAAACCGTCGGCTACTCGCTTTCGTACAAGAAGAATAAGGCGATTATTGTTGAATCGGACCGCGTTGTGTTTCCAAATGGGCCGAGTTTTGGGCCGGTTTTAATGAAGGACTTTCTTCGGGCCCTTGCTAAGCGGCTCAAGCCCAATCCAACAGCTTACGAGAATTATACTCGGATTTATATTCCAAAGTCGGGTCCTACCCAGTCGGAGCCGGGCGAGGCCTTGCGGGTCAATGTCCTTTTCAAACATATACAAAAAATGCTGTCGGGAAACATGGCGGTAATTTCTGAAGCTGGTGATTCATGGTTTCACTGTCAAAATCTAGAATTACCACGATCATGCGGGTAAAATTCTTCCCAAACTTTAAACTCAATGGGTTAAATATTATGAGTACGATAATGGAATAATCTTTGGAGAAATATAGGTTCGAGATGCAGCTGGTTTATGCCTCCATCGGGTGGTCTCTCGGCGCCACGCTCGGCTACGCTCAAGCTTCGCCGGAGGATCGTGTGGTTCTTTGCATTGGTGATGGGAGCTTCCAGGTAAATTTTCATTCGATTTTTTTTTTTTTGTATGATATTATTCACTTTGAGCATAAATTCTCGTGACTTTGCTTTTGATTTTTCAAGAGGTCTCGTACCAATGAAGATAGTTTTCCCTACTTATAAGCCCATGATTAACCGAGATAGGACTCCTCTCCCAACGATCCTAAAAAATCCTCCCCTTAACAAAATACACCATAGAGCCTTTCCTGAAACCTATAGAGCTCTCGAACAGATTCCTTTAAATCAAGCCTTGACTCCTTCTCTGGAGCCATAGAACAAACTACGTCAGTTGTTCGACACTTTAGTCACTTTTGACTACACCATCGAGACTCACAACTTCTTTGTTCGATATTTGAGAATTCTATTGACATAAGTAAGTTAAGGGCATGACTCTGATACCATGTTAGAAACCACACCTCTCTACAATGGTATGATATTGTCCACTTTGAACATAAACTCTTATAGCTTATTTACCAAAAATGCCTCGTACCAATGAAGATAGTATTCCTTATGATTAACTGATGTAGAACTCCTCTCCCAACAATTCTCAAAATACCCTGGAAATTTTACCCTATTTTTTCACCGTTTAAAAATAAACAGATGGCTCCACAAGATTTGTCAACGATGCTACGATTAGGACAGAGAAACATAATATTTCTAATAAACAACGGTGGATACACAATCGAAGTCGAGATTCACGATGGCCCGTACAATGTCATCAAGAACTGGAACTACACGGCTCTAGTCGAGGCCATGCACAATCAAACCGGTAACTGTTGGACGACCAAGGTATGTTTTTTCTTAAAAAAAAACTAACTATAGTTAATTGAGATGCATAAAGTAGTTAAGAACAATGTTTGAATATTAAACGAACAGGTTGAAACGGAGGAAGAGTTGGTGAAAGCGATTGAAATGGCAACGGGAGATAAAAACGAGTGCTTGTGCTTCATCGAGGCCATTGTTCATCGAGATGATACCAGCAAAGAGTTGCTCGACTTTGGGAACAAATTGGCTGCTACCAATAGTCGTCCTCCCAAATAATATTTACATCACTTAATCAACTTTTATATCTCAATAATGTATTAATCAATAAATTATGTAACAATTTAGTCTCGTACCGTATTAAATGTTGATTTTTATTGATTTTTATCTTGTAATGACGTGTTCTAATTAGTTTAAAAAAACATTCCTTTCAACTTCAACAATTTTTTTTTAATTAAAACAAAAAATAAAACATGCACGAGCCAAATTTATTCACTGTTAAAGATATTGTCAGCTCAAACTCACTCCTATTCAATATTGTCCTCTTTTTACTTTCCCAATATCTGCCTATATTGTCACATATAGTCAGCTCAATAGTTAGCTCCTAACATATTGTACTTTTTGTACTTTCTCTGTCAACTTCAGCTCAAACTCATCGCTAACAGATATAGTCAGCTCAAATCCACTGCTAACAGATATAGTCAGCTCAAATCCACCGCTAACATATTGTCTTCTTTGTACTTTCTCTTTAACACTTCCCCTCAAGGTTTAACATGTTGTCCGCTTTGTACTTTCTCTTTTAACACTTCCCCTCTCCAACCGATGTGAGATCTCACAGTGAGTTAGTGATAAACTAGAATCATGACCTAAGAAATGACTTAGAGAAAATGAGTTTGAGTAACCACGAACCTCCACAATGATATGATATTATCCACTTAGAGCATAATCTCTCGTGGCTTTGTTTTTGGTTTCCCCAAAACGCCTCATACCAATGAATATGTATTCCTTACTTATAAACCTACGATCATCCCCTTAATTAGCCAATGTGGGACTCCCTCCCAACAATCCTCAGCAAAGCGTATCTACGGTTTTGGTGAGTTTTCTTGACAATCAAATGTTACAAGGTATTAGCGAATTGTCTTGTGAGCGGTTGATCGAGTTGCACACAAACGGGTTCGAATACGTACAAAATATAAACTCGACCATAGCCATAGAGAAATCAAAAGATTTGGGTTATAAAGAGTTGAATGATGAGGAGAGAAGTGGAGAAAGCAAGAAAAGAAAGAGGGGGACAAGAAGGACTGAGTTTGTTTTATTGAGGTGATTGTTCATTAGGAGTGACGGGGCAGACAGGCCGCAACTGCTCCGGTGGGGCTCCCCCCTCCACCTCTGTCGCCACCCAATGTCTCTGCTCTCTCATACGCCCAAACCCCAAACACCTTTCGTTTCTTTCATATTCCATTGGATCCCAACCATGTTCGTTGGACTGTTTTTAATGCCATTATCAACTACAAAACCACTCGAACCTTTTAGCTTTAGAGATGGGAGGACGGCTTTAGAGATGGGAGGACGTAGGACTGACACTTTTTTAGTTGGGTCAATCCAATCCATTCAAAAAAAAGGTTGTAATCCAACCGAATTCTACCCTATTACTTTACAACTGTAACCGTTGAAGGTCACTGTTAGTAGATATTGTCTTTTTTGAGCTTTCCCTCTCGAACTTCTCCTCAAAAATTTTAAAATGCGTCTGCTAAGGAGAGATTCCCACACTTTTATAAAGAATGTTTCGCAACTCTCTCCAACAAACGTGGGATCTCACAATCCACCCTCTTTAGGGACCAACGTCCTTGCTGACACTCGTTCCCATTTCTAGTCGATGTGGGATCTCACGATACATAGGAGCCCAACGTTCTCGTTGGCACTCTACCTGGTGTCCACCCCCTTACAAGGCTCAACGTCATTGCTGGCACACCATCCAATACCATTTGTAACAGCCCAAGCCAGCATCTCCCAAAAGGGTGGATTGTGAGATCCCACATCGGTTTGGAAGAAAAACCAAGCATTCTTTATAAAGGTGCCCCTCGCAGACGCGCTTTAAAAACCTTACGAGGAACTCCGAAAGAGAAAGCTCAAAGAGGACAATATTTGTTAGCGTTAGGCTTGAGTTGTTATAAAAACGATTACTAATATTTAACGTTTGTAACATGTATGGTGGATAAATAATATTTTTTAAATAAGAACAAAAGAACGACTCGACAACTCAACTCAACGAGTTACAAACTCTATTCGAGCGGCTCGAATCATAACAGATTCAAATTTACGATGGACTAAAAGAAAGCGATGATTTTTACTGTTTAGGCCATAAATGTGGGAGTGAGAGAGGCAGGGAAATTGGTCCCTTGAGGGAATTAATTCGAATAACGGAAGAGAGTCGTTTTCTTATACTGTTTTTGCATGTTTTTTCATTTATTGTCTTTCTGCTTCAATTAAAATAAATAATAATAAGTAAATAAAATAAATAATATAATTTCGAATTAAGGAACATATTAACCGGAAATTATGTAACATTTGAGGACTTTCTATTTTAAGATTCTTTTATGTTACATATACAAACATGTTTGTCTCTCTCAATCAACATATTAATTAATTATCCTTTTTTCGTGGACATTAATAATTATTTAATTAAACATCAAGATCTAATTAAAGATTCTTTTTACTTGTTCTTATTATTTTTTTTAATAATAAAAAAAAAAACACTTTCCAAACATTAATAAAATTCAATTTGAATCAAAAGCATATTCAAAAAAAAGTAAAGGGTATTAGAAAAGACACAAATTAAATTTTCAAAAACAAGATCACATCGTTCTCTAAGTGATCGAGATTCAAGAACAGCTTAGTTTAATGGATAAAACAACTATTAATTACTATATCTCAAGCTCGAACGGTCTGATCCCCATGGTGCATGGAGAGAAAGAAGAAGCTATAACATTCTGGGGTTTAATTAAATAAAACAGAGTACCTAATAACGTATCTTTACAGACCACAAATTTTGAGATTCTGGGGTGACGAGGAATCGTACAATTGGAGCCTTTTTTTTTTTTCATGCTTTTTCCGGAGGTCTTTAGAAAGTTCCAATTAATAGGATTTTCTTAATTCTCCCTTCCTGGAAAGCGAAATTTTCCTTTCTTCTGGGGAAATTTGTAGTGATTAATAATTAAGTACATAGTAATTAATTATCCAAAATACATAGTAATTAACATAATTAAGTACGTACAAATCATAGATTAAAAAAAAAAAAAATTAGAAGTTCATGTAAGCATCATAAGAAGAGCACATGAATTGGTCTTGTCCGGAAGGGAAATAGATATTGTCGGGATCGAGATGAGGCAAGAACGCCTCCTCCATTTTAACTACCTCGTTTTCAGGGAACACAAAATTCATGTCACCGCCGACAGGGATGCCGGAATTCGGACAGTTGGCGGCGGCGGTGGCGGCGGCGGAGGAGGAAGAAGGATCATCATAATCAACGAAATTAATCATGGTTTGATGAAGCCAAATCTGGGTTTTTAAGAACTTGACATAATGAATGGCTTCGTCAAGCATTGAGACGGTGTCCATTTTGGTGCCGCCGGGGACTAAGCTTTGCAAAATCTTGAACCGGTCACTGATTCTATGCCGTCTTTCTCTCGCCGCCACGCTTTGTGGGTCGGTTGATAGTTTCATAACGCCTTTGGTCCTTTTCCCTCCGCCGCTCCCGCTGCCGCTGCCGCTGCCGCCACCGTTCTTCTTCATCTTCTCCTTTCTGGTTTCTCCTCCGTCGCCACCGGAGGAGGAGCCACACGAGCTGGGGTTGCTCGCCGGAAAGCTGTAATCCATTATTTCCCAACACACCCACTTCAAGAAACTAACTAAGCTTCAAATTTTCAGTACATGGAAATGACTGGTAGATTTTTTAGCTTCTATATATATAATGAAGAGAGAGAAAGAGGAGAGAGAGAGATGTCGTCATGTGAGTCAGCCAATCTCTGGCGTTGGACACGGGTTGTTCAACCCTACAAAACCCTAGATGGATTTTTTTTTTAAAAACAAAAATTACTCTCGGTTAAATTACAAATTTGATCCCGATAACATTTTATAAGATTGAGATAGAGTATTATTATACACGATCTTCTCATTTTTTAAAAAATTTTAATCGTCTAGCTAATATAATCAACGGTGTTACTCGTTATCATGTGAATAGAAAAATGTCTGAAATGACCATCAAATTCTCGAAATTTCAATTCTGAATGTAAGGCTAAATCGGTAATTTAACCTACCAAATTCCACTGATTATAAATTTTTGTTACCCTTTTATTTATTTATTTATTTTAATTTTATGGGATTATGAATTAAAGATGTGAGTGTGACATTTTAAAATTATAATATGATATGTTTCCAAGGTGGTTTTCTAATGATTTATTAGAATAATTTATTAATAAAATTAAAAAAAAACAGTATATTTTCTTTAAGAATTTTTATTGCTTTTAATTGTACTATGAATATATATATATATATATATTTTCCCTCTCTTTGCTTTTAATCAAAATCATATAAAAATTTTAACTTTTTATAGTCAAATAGACAAGTTATTAAAAAAAAAAAAAAGTCTAAAGAACTTTGACCTTTCTCCACGGAATCTTAAGCAAATACGCATATACTATTTCTTTCTTCACAAAAACGATTCTCGTCCCATCTTAAACAGATATCATTAGAATGTTACTTTTTGACCGTGACCCTTAAATTGAAGCCCGTGGAAACCTCTTCCTAATAAACACGCTTTAAAAACGAACAATATTTGCTAACGATGAGCTTAAATTGATACAATCGTTTTAGATTTTGATAATTTAACATGATATGAGAACACGACAAGTGGTCGGGATTAGGTTTAAGGAGAGAAGGAAAGAGGGTTAAAAGGGACCCCCAAGTAAAGGGGAACAGTGTCCTTATGTACACAATCACAAGTCGGCAAAGAGAGGAAAGAGATCACTTTTAGTCACGTTTAGGGGTCAGAAAATTGATTTTGAAAAATAAAAATTTATTTATTTATTTATTAATATAAAATTAAAAAAGAGATTAAAACATGTCTTATCAGCTCTTCTTTTAAAGACGGAGGGGGGAATTTCAGGTTTTTGGTTTCCCGAGAAACAAACAGAAAATATTATGTATAAATTTGTGTGTGTGTGTTGGTTGGGGGTTGGGTAATGTGTCCATTCTTATGTTTACTTGCTTTCTTTCTCTAT